AATCAGCCCAACGAAGAAGCAAGAAGAGAACAGTACTACTGACGTAGTATCAAAAGAAGATCTGCTATATCTCTTTGATGAAGTTAATATCCTAAACATTGCTTATGATGACAGCTCTTGGATTTTCGATTCAGGTGCTTCATTCCATGTTACTCCACAGGGAAGTTTCTTCTCATCATACCGAAGCGGTAACTTTGGTATGGTGCAAATGGGAAATCAAGACAGGAGCAAGATCGCCGGGATAGGAGACATTATCCTGACGAAAAGCAATAGATGCAAGCTTATCTTAAAAGATGTGAGGCATGTTCCAGCAATGCGCCTCAATCTTATCTCTGCTAGGAAGCTAGATGATGTTGGTCTGGTAAATTACTTTGGTGAAGGAAAGTGGAAGCTCACCAAAAGAAGTCTAATAATGGCTAGAGGAAAGAAAGAAGGGTCATTGTACGTGATGCAAGCTAAGCTCTGCAAATGAGAGGTAAACATCACCACTGAAGATGTGGAGATATGGCATAAACGACTTGGGCATATCACTGAGAAGGGTCTTCATATGCTCGCTCGGAAACCACTTGATCCTTGTATTCATTATTTAGCTAGAAAACAACACAGAGTTACTTTCCAAAGATCTTCTCCACCCACAAGGAGAAAAAACATCCTAGACCTTGTACACATCGATGTGTGCTCGATGTCTGAGAGATCAATAGGTGGTGCATTATACTTTGTCACCTTCATTGATGACCATTCAAGGAAGGTGTGGATGCACCTGCTAAAATCAAAGGATCAAGTGCTTGACGCTTCAAAGAATTTCATGCTCTAGTGGAGCGTGAGACCGAAAGGAAGATCAAGTGTGTAAGATCTGACAATGGAGGTGAGTATAAATGTCCTTTTGAAGCATATTGCAAGAAAAGTGGCATTAGACTATAGAGGACTCCACCCAAGACACTACAAATAAAGGAAGTAGCTGAGAGAATGAATAGAACTGTTGAAGAAAGAGTTCTATGTGTGCTCTCTCATGCTAAGTTACCTAAATCATTTTTGGGGAGAAGATATAATGGCAGTGGTTGACATTGTCAACTTCACACCATCAGTTCCCTTGAACGGGGGTATCCTAGAAGAAGTCTGAACGGGTAAAAGGGCTTTATACAATCACCTCAAGGTATTCAGGTGCAAGGCATTTGTTCACATACCCAGAGATGAGAGAGACAAGCTTGATGCAAAGACGAAGGAATGCATCTACCTTCGTTCACCTAAGGATGAATTCAGTTATCGACTTTGGGATCCAGTCAATAAAAAGTTTGTCTGCAGCAAAGATGTTGTTTTCTTCGAAGATCAAACAATCGAAGATATTAAAAATTCAGAGAGACCAAGATTGAGAAGAAGCAAGAACACCGAACTTACTCCAGTTCGACTTAAGGATAATAAAACACAAGAAAACAATGATATTGAAGATCATGAATCTATGTTAGAGCAAAGCAACCATGAGACTCATGATGAACCAGCTTAGGAAGATCCTCAATCTAGTTCTCTAATGGCACCAGATCCGAGAAGATCCTCGAGAGAAAGAAGACCATCCACTTGGTATAATACAGATGAGTATGTTATGCTCACTGATGAGGGGGAACCTCAAAGTTATGAAGAAGCAATGAGTGATAGTCATAAAGAATAATGGAGAAGAGCCATGCAAGAAGAGATGCAATCCTTGTATGAGAATCATTCTTATGAACTTGTGGAGCTACCAAAAGGGAGAAGAGCCTTGAAGAATAAGTGGATGTATCAGATCAAGACCGAATATAGCAGCTCAAAGCCTCGCTATAAAGCTCGGTTGGTCGTCACAGGATTCGGACAAGAAAAAGGTATAGACATTGAAGAAATATTCTCTATTGTGGTAAATATGTCATCCATCCGAATGGTCCTTGGCTTAGCAGCCATGCAAGATTTGGAAATTGAACAACTCGATGTCAAGATAGCGTTCCTACATGACGATCTAGAGGACGAAATCTACATGGAGTAGCCTGAGAGATTCAAAGTTCCAGGCAAAAAATATCTAGTGTATCGTCTGACTTAGAGTCTATACGAGCTTAAGCAAACACCAAGACAATGGTACAAAAAGTTTGACTCTTTTATGGCAGAACATGATTTCAAAAAGACGGAAAGCGATCATTGTGTCTTCATGAAAGGTATGCAAGTGACGAATTTCTCACACTCCTACTATATGTTGACGATATGTTAATTATTAGACAATATCGCATAAAGATAGTTGCTTTAAATAAAGAACTAAGGAAGAGTTTCGCCATGAAAGATTTGGGATCGGCTAAACAAATCTTTGGGATGCGAATAACTTGTGATAGATCAAAGAGATTGTTATGGTTATACTAAGAGAGATACATTTAGAAGGTGTTGGTAAGATTCAACATGAACAAATCAAAGTCGGTTAACACACCACTTACTAGACACTTCAAGCTGAGTTTGAAGCAGAGTCCTACAAGTGAGAACAAAATAGAGGAAATGAAAACAATTCCATGCTCATCTGTAGTAGGCAGTCTCATGTATGCAATTATATGCACAAGACCAGATATCGCCTATGCAGTTGGAGTCGTGAGTCGCTTCTTAACTAACCCAGGCATGATGACCAATGTAATACCGACAAAGAAGTTCGAAGATTGCTGTCAATGTGTCGGCTTTCTACTACCTCTCAATTAAGTCGATAGGGGGAGATTTGTTGGATCTCTCCTTAATTGAAGAGGTTCTAAAAAATTCTAGAGCTTTCTAGAGAAGTGTAGAATTTTCTAGAACATTTCGGATAACTCTAGAGAAGTGTAGAACCCTCTAGAAGCTTGTGGAAGAGTGTGGAATCTTCTGGAATATTCTAGAGATGTGTGGAACCTTATGAAAGAATATGGAAGGGAGTGGAATAGTGTAGAGTTTCTTAGAGTGTGTGGAGCATTCTAGATAATTAATCTACACCCTTTGATGCAAGTAATCTCCACCATTGATTGTGGAGGTGGAGTAATATAAATAGGGGTGAGAGACTTCATTCCTAACCATCCAAGAAATCCAAAAATACTAAGAGAGTTAGAGAACCTTTTTGAGAGAGAAGAGAGATAGCTTGGGAAGTCTTTATCCTCAAGCTTTAGTGAGCCACCGAGTGTGAGTCAAATTTTGTGAATACATCCTTGTAATCCTACTATTCTTTTGTATAGTGGAAGAATCTCCAAATTGGAGAATTATACTCTTGTGCCCTCTTTACTATCTTTAATCTCTAAGTGTCTATCTTAACTTCACGAAGCGGAAACGACCTTGATTCCCAATATTTTCCAAGTATTGGAAAGGGGGAACTGTTTTCTTGGGGTCATTTTTTTCACTTGCTCTTTTATTTTTGTTTCATTGCGTCGACTATTCTGTGTGGATTTTGACAACCCCATGGTTATGATAACATTAACATCAAATTACAGCACAAACATGTCACGAATACTAACCTTCGAGGAAAACAATAACAGTCGTCATGATGTTTTTTTCTCTTCATTCATGGGGAGTGTTGTAGAAAACTTTCAGTGTCGAGCCTAGACCTCATCGGCTCGAACACCACCAACGAAGATGAACATCATTATCCAGAAGAAGATGGAGAAATTGAAGTATTTGGAGCTAAAAAATATTTCAACGGATGAATCAACATAGAGACGAACAAGCCTGTAACTCATCAAGGAACTCCAAGTGCTCGTTCTGACTCAAGCCGGGACAGCCAAAGTGCATTACTCCAAAGTATTCCTGGAAGAAAACTTAGTAAAGTGAATGGAAAGATTTTTCTTCCGGGTCTTGCAGGCTGCAATTGTTACTGTTCTGGTAGGAAGTTTATTGATACTGACGACGTACAAGTTGGTGAAAAAAGTAGCAGAGCCATTAAGGCCATTCTAGAGGTCAATAAACCAGTAGCAGAGCCTTGGATGAAGGAAGATATTTTTCCTTTCCCGAGAATTCAATTGGTTGATATTTCATTCCAAGGAGATCTTGATGAAATTGGACAGAAATCACTAGAGGTTTTCGGCTCCCCTGTACTTGCAAGGGGAAACAAGTCATTGAACATTGAGAGGGGGCTAAAAATGTTATCTTGTTATCATTCTAGTCCAAAATTCGAAGGAAATGAAAATCCTATAGGTAACTATAATGATGCAGGGAGTTATGCAAGCTCAGATTTGTTTGAGATAGAGCCTGATAGGCAAAGTCGATTTGTTTCTCGTGAAACAAAGCAACCAATGTTGTTTCCGGGTGTGCCACACCACCAACTTATTATGCACCAAGCGGAGCTAGTATAGAGTGGTGTGTGGTCACGGCCAGTGCAGCAGATTTCTCAGTCATATCCGACTACGAAGAGCTACGGCCACCGATAACTCTATCAAGCTCAATGAACACATTTTCGACAACCACCATAGCTGAAAGCACTAAAAATGACAGTTTCGGAGGCACTGTTCAAGTGGCCTATTGGGGTGTAATAGCCAGAAAGTTGTTGATGTTGCCGAAGATGCAACAAATGAGAAGTCAAGTTTTAACCCAAGAATGAGCCGTGTGTCGGACTCCTACATGTCTGCCACAAGTTTTCAAGGCGGAATTAAATTCGCCGGTGCTTTTCAACATACTCAAAGGCCAAGAGCTTCACATCTCTTGCATATTCAGTAGCCCTGTAATAGGTTTACCCTGGAGTTTATTTTGTACAACATATGATGGGATTTTTTACTACGGTACCATGTTTATTTTGTACAGCTTGGTCTTCTCTTCCATTGCAGAACCTATTTTGCTCAGCTAATATATTCAATATAAGACCAGATCATTGATCAAGACCATGATTAATTTATGTTTCCAGCTTTATTAGGAAGTGGTATGACCTGGAGTTTCAATCATTGGACCTCCTATGCTTTTATCGGCATTTTCTATGTGGACCACCGGTAGAAGATAATAGAGGTCCAAGCTTCGATTATACTACTTGGATTACCACTAAAAAAATAAACTTATAGGTGTAAGAGCACAAGAATTTGATGAATGATGGATGAATTGGAAAAGGAAAATACAGGTGGTACATGTTTTTTTCTGTAACAGAAACGGATTCTCAATCTAATCTTCTTTCAACACTTTTGGCTGAGCTTCGAATCCCCCTTCTGCTCTCTTCTCAAGTGAATAAGGCATATAGGTCCCCATAATTCGATCCCACATGACGAAGAAGGGCTGTGAGAAATTGTATTTGCTACCGTAAAGCTGATGGTGGACATCATGATATGCAGAATTGTTTCTAAAGAATATATGGAAGGGGTTTCCGGGAAGCATTAGCCCGCAATGGTCGTCCACTGTTTTGATGGTGGCGAAAGAGAAGAAAAAGATGGAGGTCCGAGGAGACATGCCAGAGAGCATAAATGATAAGGCCCCGCCTACTGTGTCAAGGAGAAGCCCCTCTAATGGATGGTTGTACAAAGCTCCAAATGCATAGGGAACGATAAGACGGTGATGCCGAGAGTGCAGGTGCTGATAGAGGAACTTATTCTCGTGGAAGTATCGGTGCAAAAAGTATTGCCAGGTATCCATAACCAGCATTGCTGTAACAAACTGTCTACCTAGAATAATAAAGGAAGATGGCTGCTGAGGGGAAGCCCCAGCATGACTCCCTGTGACCTGCACAAAACAATGTTTGATAAATATGTACAATATAGATATAATTTCACAAATGAAATTGCCTCTATGGCTCATTGTGCATGCTAGCAAAACATACGGGATTTCTGGTTTCAATTAACAACAAATCAAAAGATAAAAAAAGAAAATGAAAACTAGTAAGGACTCAGCTACATATGAAATTATAACAGTTCTGTAACACAAGAAACGGGAAACAACACCTAGCTTACAAGTGTTTCATCAGGTGACACGATAATGAAGAAACCTGTGAATCAGTCCTAAAATAGAGGAAATTTGATGTGGTTGGTTGTGCTAACTAATGAAAATAGATTACTTCCATTAAACTAAAGATTACAACACAATCCATAACAAGCATTTTTATATATATACTCTGCCTAGCTCCTATCCAATAAAGCATAAATTCAAAAGACAGTATTCAGGGTATATGCAGAAAAGCATATAAAATTGCAGCTCAATTACAGATGAAATCTAATAATGATGAAGACAATCCACAGCTATGTCACAAGAATAGCATCCGGCTCGGATACACTCATTTCTCACAAGTTCTTTCATATATTTGGAGAATAGTACCACATACCTATGTTCAAATATGTGTTGGACACGAGTACTCTAGGAGGGAAATGAAGCATTAGATCAACATAGATTCTACGAAACAATGCTACCAGATAAGCTATGAGCCTGATCAATCATCTATAAGTACACGAACACCATATGCTCTATAACTAAGTATTTCATTGCAATATAAATCTTTCATGGGTCAAAAGAAATCAAATTGAGACTCATGGCTGATTATACCTAAATTTATCTATCCAACTTTAATATGGTGAGCAAATATATGGCATGCAATGGGCTGATGCAAACAATTAACTCCAAACTTTTGCTTTCATCTTTGCAAAGTAATCAAAGGTATGAATTTGGAACGCTGCAATAGATCCAAATCTTGAGTGCTAGCTAATTTCTAAGACAAACCAAGTGACACTCTAATAATAATCTAACAAAAACTTCTCCAAAGGTAGTTCGATTCATCTTTATATGCCCCAAAAAAGAAAAAAAAAAGGGGGGGTGAAACAAATTGTCATCAAAGAAAAAACAAGAATTTGAATGAAACCCAACAAAGAAACCATTCTGTTCTCCTAAAATTTCAGGTATAATTATAAATATACATAAAGGAACCCTTTGCAGAATTTGAATTTGAGAATTTCAGATCAATGTTTCAAAAACTAAAGCATATAAGAGTCGTTGAAGGGATGATTTACCGTGAACAAAAGGATCGCGACAGCAGCCTGAAGGAACTGCTGTAAGAGAACGCCTTTAACGACTGTTCGTTTGGAAACCAAATTCTTCTCTTCCTCGTCTCTTTTAGAATGCAATCTATAATTCTCAAATGACCCTAAACACATATAAATTCCTGAATAAATCCAATAAACAACAATAGGAACCACAGTTCCCAACAATTCATCGGATACAGCAAAACCCATTCCCATTTTACTAAACTAATCACAAACAAAATCACATGAACTGGTTTTTTTAATCAAAGTTTGAGTCTTTCAGTCGGAATTTAAAGATTTAAATGAACATAAATAAAAGTCAAAACTTTATTTATTAAAACTAATAATGATGATAAGAGGAATTCGCAATTGAAAATGGAAATGGAAAAAGTAGAATAAAATAACAAAAGCAGCTGTTGCTTAGGGTTGGAAAGGTCGCAGAAGATTCGAAAAGGAAAGGAAGGTGTGAGAAGAAAGACGGAAACTATGGGCTTCAATAACAAGAAGCATATTTCGGTGGGTCCTTTCGGAAATATCTATAACAAAAAGGTAAACCACATGTCTGCTCACTTTTTATTTTCGGTCTGTCTTATTTTGATTGTTGGATTTGAGAACTTTATATTTTGGTTACTTATATTTCTTGTCTATCTTATTTAGATCACTTAGTTTTAATTTCATCAGTTTGACAATGTGGTACATTCGTAAAATAATATTTATTTTTAATTATTTTTAACATAATTTTATCAAACAAAATTAAGAATTATATATATACATATATTTGTGTCAGATCGGGTTAGGTTAGGTGCAGATTTTATCTTAAAAGATATGTTAGATTTTGGATCAGATGGAATCATACTAAATCGGTTTGGTTTAATTTTTGGGGTGAAGGATTTATTTTTATCGAGTCAAAAGAGAATGGATGAAAAGTTGATGCAACCCGACCTATACCCACCCCTAAATCATATCAAGATAAAGACCAAATTTTATCAACCCAAATTTTAGGATATTACAAATATGACCTTCTGATTCGATCATAAAACTTGAGTTAAATCTAGAGGGTTACACTTTCGTAATAAAAAGTATATGAAGATTATTTTGTAGGGGTTGTTTCTTGCATGAACACCTTTTATACATTTGTATAAAATGAGTTATTTACTCGAATATTGTCCCTTTTAAGTGGGAGTAAATGTTATGTCATTGTAAGGTGAGCCTTTGTACATAATAATAGATTGCTTCCAAGGTGCATATATCTTATGTCTTCACGTGATGAATCATCTTCACGAATTAAACTCGGTATATATAAATTGATAATGAATTGGGATGATGGTCTTTACTAGCCTTAACATGTAACAACAAAAATAATTCGAGGACCTCTTTTTAAGTTGAACCTAATAAGTATAAAATCGATTAACATTTGGTATATTATCAGTGAAATATTTTAATTTCACAAATAATATTTAAATATCATCATATGCCCTAAACTTTAGACACTAAAATCTTATTCTCTCATCCTTAAATCTTAAAATCTGGATTCTAACCATTAATGTCAGACGTCATTCATTAATCAACCCTATTTGTAGAGCTTTTCTTTAACTATAAGGGCATTTTATAATATACTTTTCCATATAAATTATGTTTTTTTTTATTAAAATCAAAATCAAAATAGATAAAAGTTGAGGAATATTTTTCAGAAACAATTCTAAATTGATGAAATGTATAAACATTATGGTTTATTTTACTACTCAAACAAAGTCATATTATCCATATGTAATTAAAACGTTATGTCTCAATCAATTGAATGATGAAAAGAATTATAATAGTTGAGTGATTATTAGTGTAGTTTCTAATTAATGTAGAATAATTAATAATAAATTTACTATTATTTTTTATCCGAAAATATTATAAGTTACTAAACCTTTATTAATTCGGCTGTGAATTTCATATTGGTTCTCGTACATTCTGAAACAAACAATTGATTTCACAAGAAAAAAGATCCACATTTTTGCTTAAATACTAGCTAGTATTATGACAAATAAGACCCAAATTTACTTTACAAGCTTTTTTTTTTAATTCCGAAATAAGCACTAAACATGCTTGCGACGATTTTACAGTAATTTAAAACAAAAGCAACACACTCAAACTAATAGGAGCAGTGGTAATTAATTAGTTAATTAACTCTTGCACTCCTTAACTGGCCTCAACTTGAAGCCTCCCCCTTCTATTTTCTCAAGTTCATAAGGCATATACGTTCCCAAAATCTTGTCCCAAATGGAGAAGAACGGTTGCGAGAAGTTGTATTTGCCGCCGTAAAGCTGGTGGTGGAGGTCATGGTACGCGGTGTTGTTGGTAAAGAAGAAGTGAAAAGGGTTGCCGGGAAGCACTAATCCACAATGGTCATCCACCGATTTCATGTTGCAGAAAGCTGAGAAGAAGGCCGACGTTAGAGGCGACATGCCGGAGACGTAAATGGCGAGCGAGCCGCCGATGATGTCGAACAGAAGTCCCTCGACCGGATGACTGTAGATGGCACCAAAGGGGTAGGAAACCACCAGACGGTGGTGCTTGGAATGGAGGTGCTTGTACAAGAACTTGTTCTGGTGTAGGTATCTGTGAACAAAATATTGGTAAGTGTCGAATACGAACATTGCTACAATAAACTGTCTTGCTATGACAAAGAAGGAAGCTGACTGCCCTGAAGATGCTCCGCCGTCGTTTCCTCTTGTCAGCTGTACCATATTAACAAAAAATTCAACATTATTGGCCTTGGATAAAAATTGGGTAACAAAAACCAAGATAAAAATATAATTGTAAACGCTATTGGAATATAAAATATTCATCACTCCCTCGTCTGCAATGGATTACTTAGTTATTTTTAACGTAAAAAAAAATGTGGTTTTTATACTTTAGATCATAAGATATGTTGGGTTTTCGTAGTTGTTTACGTTAACTTTATAGTTAATAATAGGTATAATGGCAAAAATGTCCCTAAAATTTGATTAAGTAATCATTTTGGTCCCTAACATTTCTTATAGAGCATTTGGTCCCTAATATTTCATTTTAGAGCAAAGAGGCCCCTAACATTTGATTAAATAGTCACTTTGAACCATATTTTTTTGGGAGAATTTTATCCCATAACATTTCATTAGGAAGAAGGACCCCTATATTTGGAGCGTAAACAGTTTGTTGACTTAAGTTTTTATCCACGAACAATCCTTTTTGTCCCAAAATGAAACCTTATGGACCAAAAATGCTCTAAAAAAAAGAAGGACTAAATTGAATATTTAATCAAATATTAGAGGCATTTTGGTATTATGCCTTAATAATATTATGGGTAAACTACGTATTTAGTCAACACTAACATTACATTCTAGTTTCATTTTGGACACTTGCCGTTAAAAAATTAACAGTACTACTGATGTGGCCTTTTTATTTTTTTCAATAATGATGTTACATTGCCATATGGTGACATGTTAGTATCACTGTTAATTTTTTTAACGGCAGGTGACCAAAATGAAACAAAAATGTACCATTAGTGATGATTTAAAAAAATAGTTGGATGACCAAAACAGAATCAAAGCGATAATTGGATGACTGAATACGTGATTTACCCTATATTATTAAGTTAAAACATAAGAAAAGAGTTTGACGAACAAGTTTTTGAGAAAAATGAAGAGAGAACCCTTTGGCAACAATTCATACCATATACAATAGGTTGGTGGCGATGAACTGACGGAATTGTTGCCAAAGGACACCTTTGATGACAGTCTCCTTGGAGGCAAAATTCTTGTCATCCTCATCTTCCTTGGGATGCAATCTGTAACTCTTACAAGAGTAGCCTAAAATAGTGTATAGTCCTCCATAAACCCAGTAAACAACAACCGGCATTAAACTGCCCACCAGCATTTCATTTGTTATCTCCAGAGCCATTGCAGAATGCAAAAGCAAACCCCACGAAATGTATGTATCGATTTTAGGACACGAAAACCCAGAGCGTATGAGAAACTTGAAGCATTCTCTCCTTCACTTATAGGGGAAGTGAGAGTTACTAGAGTCTAGAGGGTCCGTGAAGCTACGAAAAAAGGTGGTGGGGTTTAATGTGTCTTTCGACCACTAAATGAAAGTTTTTGCTCCCAAATGTGTATGTGGACCACTGGGTTTTTTTTTTGGCATTTTTTTGGGGAATCGTCCAAATGAATTGTTAATGGAAAGTAAGGTTGGTGTAAACTACGGTTTTAGGGATGGATGTTGTGTCTATGTAAGATGAAAATAAAATAAATAAAATTTATTGCTACGAATAAACAGTGATGATGGCGCACGTCATCATAAGATAATATTATATCATTATTAAAATAATAAAAAAATTCATCACATCAATAATTTTGTTTATTTTTAACGGTACGTGACTAACATATAATGAGAATGTATCCTTAAATATGGTTTTGCAAAAGAATAATGAAGTGACTAAAATATAATTATATGAATAGGTTAGTGACTAAACACGAATTTATCCTAAAAGTTTAGGACGAAAAAGCTTTTAATTTTTAAAATAATGGAAGATGCAAAGAATACAAACTAACGGGAGCCAATGTGTGAGTATTGCAGTCATGTCAGTACATAACTGTTGAATTCATTAATGGCACCTGAACAAAACCAGACGCAGAATTTTGTGGATACCCTCTCCCAATGTCGTGGGGAAGTCTATATCCTAATATACCGTTAAAGAAAATATGTAATCAAAAATATTATTTTTTTAATATTTTTTATAAAATATTATTTAAAATATCATTTATTCTGTTAAAATGTTAATATTTGGTATTATCTAAACATTAGTTTTCTATCGAAAATATTAAGATTGAGTGTTATTTAAAATATTATTTTTCTCACCGAATATTAGCTAATAAAATTAATATTTTTAATAAAAATAATAATATTTTAAGTAACACTTTATTAAAAATATTAAAAATTTAATAATATTTTCGATAGTGTATTTTTTAGTAGTATATTAGACTGTTGAACTACAAAATTACCGGTTGTGGTCCCTCATTTCATATGTAATCACAAATTTACAATTAATTCTTTCTATGATTGATGTATTTTTCTAAAACAAATACTTTATGCGTAGCTTAAAAAAGAATCGTAGTTTTGATGCTGAATAATTTCAGGTTTAATGTAAAAATAAAAATTACAAATTTATCTATAATTTTAAGCATGACAAAACTTTTGTAGGGTTC